CGCGCGCTGGGAGAAGAGAAGAAAGAAACGACAAACGCGACTCCGATTCGTGCCGTTAGACCAGTGGTTCTCAAACTTTTTCTTCCACGGAACCTTGAGTTCTCTTGCACTCGCCGCATTTCACATTCCTAGCTCTACACTTTTTCGCGAAAGGTTCCTTTGAAGACATTCGAAACACGCGTTGCTCTTCTCGCTCAATCCCTTCGTCTCCTCAAATGAAAGTGGGGTTCTACAATCCTTACTTTCATCCTTGGCGCTTGCGCCGAAAATGCATGAATGATCTTCTGTTGGACTCTGCGTGAGGAGAGCAGCGTTGCCTCCCTGCATAATACCCACTAAAAAAACCTATGGCTCTTTACCTGAAGGGAGAGAGCGGATAGGGTTGGATTTGGAGAGTTTGATGCCTACTATGGGAGACTTCAAGCAAAAAGTCGAGTATGCAGGCTTGGAGAGTCAACGGACAGGCTGTTTCGATCCCGTGTCGTAATCGGTCTCAGGGACAGAAGCCTACAGAAGACTCTATAAACTAAGGATCTCTCGCTACCACAAGTGGTGGCAAGATGCACGAGCTCGGAATTGGGAGAGCAGAACGCATTGGAGATGATAGGAGCGCAGCCTTCCATGGAGAGAGTTGCCGCGATTCGCGCGCGATCGCCAACACCAACAAGAGAGCGACACAAGTGACGCATACGGAATCGCTGCTGTTGGAGCGGGTAGGTGTAGTGCTTGCGGCTACTCACACTCTGACAACATACGTCAAGCAAGAAACAAGCGCTGCAACAGCTGTGGTCGACGAGAACACTATGCCAAGTTCTGCAAATCGAAACTCGGGGTGCGGAGTCCGAGTGAAGGGTCAATCCGCCACCCAGCCAGGGCGGACACAAGCCGTTCAATCCGTGATCGAAACCCGGCAAGCAACACGAAGGTCGGAGCGATTCAGTACTCATCTGACGACGAGGAATTTCAAATTTGCCAGGTGGAGGCACCACCGAAAATCGTACGCAAATCGAGCAGGTGGGATCACGTCGTGAATATACATAGGCAGATGGTGCAATGTAAGCCCGACACCGGGGCGGACGTTATAGCGAAACGAGTGTCGGATTCTCCTAGGGTCGAGTCTGACAGCTCGTCGGCGCGGTGCCGAATCAAAAACCGTACCCTAACACAGAACGGAGAGAGCCCAGCGATAAGGGGTTAGAATTAGGGAAAACTCAATAATGCTCAGCGCTCCAATGTCGGAGAATATATTAATCAAGGATCGAGGATGGTCGAATATATTGGTTCAATGAAGGTCTAGCCGTCTCGACGGGTCACAGCGACTTTCGCGCAAGTCGTCTGCTAGGCAGCGACGACAGACACGAGAGTCCGAAACCACTGAGGCTCCCCGAGTTTTCGGAGACCCGGGGAGGTTCCCGGGGCGTGAAATCTCTCTGTGACCCGGTCAAGGAGACGGCAGTCAGAGAAACCCAATCCATTGTTGTCATTAACCGGGGGGCGGCCGATTTCTAACAGTGGTGTCAGAAGAACGGAAACGGATCCTCAAGCGACCGACCGCGAAGCCTAAAGGGAGCGTTGAGGAATCAAACACGAGGATGATTGTCAGTGAATCGAAGGGGAAGACCGACACGGCTCAGGATGCCGGCGAGACTGTCCAAACGAGCCCCGGGATGGAGAAGCACAAGTCGGTCAAGAAAACCTCGAGTATTCAGCTTGAGCAGGAGTCCGAAGATATCGACCGCGAGGAGCAAGCTGATTTCGACGATGCTTGAGTCGGCATGAAATCATACCGGAATGGGTTCGGGGAAACGTGCAAAAAACTGTGAGGGCTTCTCGAGGCGAAGCCGTACATTCACCAAATGAGGGTGGGTCTGAGCGAGCTAGAAGACCTGTGGGACCGACTGAGAGAATCAAGCAGGCGGATCACCGTGCGCGGACGAGGTTTTCAGAAGAAAAGAACGGGAGGTTAGGGTTGAGACGGAGGAGGCCTTCCGGGAAATCGCATTTGAATTGAAGGGTTCGATGAGGCGGTTGTTGAGCAATGACAGCGAGAAATCCCGGCATTTGGAAAGTGTGGATCCAAAGGGGCCCTTCAGCTCGACCATGAACGCAACCGCAGCATGTTCGCTGAAATACAACTGCCAGGACATAATTCAACGAATCCCGAAATTCGAGGGAGATCTGACCAAGTTTCAACGATGGAAGGACGCATTTGAACTACACGTGAACCGGAAAAAGTGGGATGAAGTGGAAAAGTTTGAATTTCTCGATGAGACGATCGGAGGGCGAGCATGGCAGACGATCGTCTGCTCGGACTCGAAAACAACAACACGCTCTGAATCGCTCTCGATTAAAAAAATCGAAAAAACTGAGTTAACGAGTGAAAAAAAAGTGCGAGTGCTTGCAGAGTAAACACAACTGTGCAACGCACCGAAACAAACAAAAAGCCCCATCTACCCAGTCAGGTTTTTTGTCCGTGGATAACATGTCCAAATTCGTAAGCACGTGTGAGCAATGCGCGAAAAACTCCGTAGAAGAAGGAGTCGAAAACCGGTGTTGTCTCACCGGACATCTAAGGACAAAACTGGCCGAATCAGTTTTGGCCCTTCAGAGGTCCGACAGTGCTGCCTTACTGGCCCAGATCGAGGCAGAGCACACAAAAGAAGCTCTCGAAGAGAGCAAACTGAAAGTCCTCGATTTGGCAAAAAAATCGAGGAGCTGCAGTCACAGGTTGCAGCCCTGCAAACCAAACTAGAAGAGGTCGAGAAAACCTCAAAAAAAAGTGAAGTGGACGTGGCAGCCGAGGGAGTAGCCGAGGCAGTCAGTCAGATGGACATCGAGGAAGGAGAGCACCAGCCGACGAAGACCTGGTCAACCCCTGTGTGCTGATATACACAGACAAAGGACTTCGGAAGCTGGAGTTCGGAAAACCCGAAGTCGTCCTGTTCACTCACTTTGCAGGCAACACCATATTCGGGCAGTTCACCTGCCTGAGCGAGTCAAAAGCGGAATCAGCTGTCTCGCAAATACTCCAGTTCCTAGACAGTCACCCGGAACAAGAAGCCCATGTGATCTGTCACCTAGGAATCGACGACCTGTGCTCCCTGGCACAAAGTGGGCTCAGCGCCGTAGAAGTGGCCGGAAAGATTATCACGCCACTGGCATCACTCAAGCGAAACGAAAGAGTGCTATCAGTGACGTGGTGCACAATGATCGAAGGCGGCACCAACAAAACAGTTGAGTCCGTGAACATCGAGGCCACCAACCTCAAAGAGGTCAAAGGTATGACCGTTAAAGTTATAGACTTGAGACTTATATCAAGAGATCCGAGAAACATTACCGTTCAGAAAGCTGACGATCCTCTGAGCATTCGGTTCAACGCTGTGGCGGACGCACCTCGCTGATAGAGGTTCTGAGCCTCGAAGATAAATGAAGACACAAGACTTGATCCCGTAGAATTCACGCGGGGTGCGCTGCGCTATACTAATCTGTCTTCCGGTGATATCCAATTGGGTGGATATCTCCTGGAGATGATGAGATGAGGACGATAGGGAGATTGAAACTCCGATCGTCGTTGATTTGAATAAACACTCTCGGGGCTTGAACCCGGACGCTGAAGATCACGAGGAGCACTGATGGCCGCTACGTTATCTTGATAACTGATGTTGTTGTTGACCGTCTGTCAACCCTTTCAACTTCTCCGCGACTGTCGCCACTGTGGCTGCCGCAGTGTTCTCAACACCTCTCTGCTCTCGACCGGCTGACAGAGAATCAGCTGACGGGAAGCAGCTGACGCGACGCGCCAGCCGCCAGCGCTGCACTGGTGGACGTACCTAAACTACGCGCGAGCGCATCCCCGTGCTTATATATTGAGTTTGATGGCGTAATATTACAAAATAATGGGACTGCTTGTCCTGGACGAGAATGGCGGATTGTCCGCGATATTGACATTCATATGGATCACTATCCCCCCGTTCCCGACTCGAACTCTTAGTGAATGTTGTGTGCCGATTGTCTTGGTGTGCTGCGTGTGCGGTATGAGTGTTTTCCTGCAAACTGATGACGCGACTGACACCTCTGTCTGTGACAGTCCCCCCCCCCGAACTCCGGGGACACTTCAGGAGAGGCCGCGGAGTTCTGTTGATCACCAAATTCCGCGTTAGAGAGAGCACTGTGTCCCGCTTCAATTTTTCGCGCCAATGAAAATCGCGCCGCCTGGCGGAAAACTCTGTTGCCTCGCGCGCGCGGATCTGGTCTCCTCTAATTCGCTGATGGTCTCGGTGTCGACGGTAACTTCTAATCCCACTGTATCGTGAACGTGTTTGCTCGTCAAGGAACTTCATGGCCGCCCCCGGAGCACAAGGATACGATCGGCATCCTTACACCAAGACTCCCATCGGAATCGTCACCATGCTGCTCCAGGATGCGGGGGTCGTGAATGAGACGTTCACGACCCGCGATGTCACTTACATTGCGCGGTATTTTTGGTTTGATTTAACACCGGAAGAGCAAGCCCCGATACGAGCCCATTCCAAACGGCTATTACAAGGGAGGCGGTCTGTGTGCCCATCCTTGCCAAAAAACTCCGCTTTACACCCCCCGTCAATGGCGCGCAGGCTCCGGCCTATCTTCGGCTGTTGCAGGACTCGCAGACAGGTCAACCCGGGCAGGTCACCATCCCGCTTGAGGAGAATTCTCGAGATGTGGCCTGGCCTCGCGTCCGCGATGTCTACGAGATGATAGAGGGGCTCTTAACCGCGTCCAGGACGCCGCACGGCCCGTGCCCGAACGCGTCCCGCGTCCCCTGGATCCGAGAACCGGCCTGCCCACGGCCTCTCAAGACTATAACCGACAGCCGGCGCAACGATGAGGCCTGATGATGATCCCATCGGTGTTTATTTGAATCGTGTTGTGTTCTTATTGAGTCGGTGAATAAGAGTTTCTCTGTTCTCCCTGATGAGTGTTCTCCTTGGTATATGTTAGGGTGTGATTGGAGATCGGTTTCATACCTGCGCTGTGGGTTCGATGGGGTAAAGTTTCGTGATGGGACGGTTGAAAATTCGGCCTGCGGCCGTTCTGATAGTGCATGATTTCGATATCTCAGGTGTCGAGTCGCTTTTGAGTGCAATAACCTTACAGAGGGGCCAATAAGCCCGGTTGGCGTTCGAATCTTCAAGCAGGCAAATGTCGCCGATTTTCAGCGGTCTGGCCGGAACGGGGAGTCTTTTATGAGCTGATCTCAGATAGCTTAGATATTCGCGGTGGAATCTTTTCCAGAAGGCGTTCAGGATCCTCTGCTGATAGGTCCATCTCCTGGAGAAGATGATTTTATCTGAATCCTTGGATTTCATCGGGCTGGCGGCATGCTGAGGGAAGAAAGTGTCGCCTCGATAGTTGTGCAATAGGTCCATTGGGCTGAGGGCTTCCGTGGAGTCGACGCCCGATGCAACAGTTGTTATTGGGCGCTTATGTATCATCAGCTCGATTTTGCTTAAGATAATCTCGAGGTCTCGAAAATGTGGAACTGACGTCCCGAGAACTTTTCTCAATGGTCGCTTGACTGACTGGACCAGCCGCTCGTAGAAACCCCCATGAGACGGAGCGTTTGGCGTTATGAAGTTCCATCTGATGAATTTGTCTGCGAGCCATCTCTTCACATCTCCATTGACGATGTGGTCGTATAAGAGCTTGAGCTCCTTCGCTGTTCTCTGGAACGATAAACCGTTGTCTGATGTGATCGTGGTAACTGAGGGGTATCGGTTCACGAATTTCTGTAGAGCACCGAGAACCTCTGAGGTCGACATGTCGGTTGTTAGCTCGAGATGAATCGCTCGGGTGACTGCGCATACGAATAGGAGAATGTAGCTTTTCGCTTTCTCGCCCGAGTCATTCTTGTATTTTATGGGACCGGCGAAATCACAGCCTGTGTGGTAGAACGGTGGGGCCGTCTCCAGCCTGAATGCTGGTAACGGAGCCGTTGGGAGGCTTGCGGCCTGGCCGTGAAAGATTTTGCATGTGGCGCAAGATGAGATGACCTGTCGATAACGATTTCGAAGCGTGGCAAGCGTTCGTGGAATCCTTCGGAGATCACGCATTAGTCAGCGGACTCTACACCGATCCAAATAGCGAAGTTCCGTGCCATCCTTGGGGACGACAATCGGAAAATGCTCAGAAATCTAGACGTGAAAATGGAAGACACAGATCAAACAGACCCGTCAGGGAGCGCACCGTGCAAGAACGTCAGACTCTTGATACAAGCACTCAACTCAAGGTTTGGAGTGAGGAAAAACTGTGATGTATCAGAGGTATAACTTCTATCGGGCGCAACAAGAAAGCAATGAAAAAATAAAAGACTTCTGCGACAGGCTCAGGAAGCAAGCAAAGAAGTGCGACTTCGGAGTTTGAGAAAGAGTAACGGCTAGGGACATACCGATCCTTGGAACGATCATCGGAACAGCTAGAGAAGCATGTTTCGATGAAGAGGAGCACACACTGGATCTAGACAAAACCATCAGGATCCTAGAAATGTATGAAGACAACGCTAAATCGCTCAACGAAATCAGCGGGAACAGATCCGCCGCACCAGAAACAGTGTGGGCAATGGAAAAGAACGTGAATCGGAACAGAAACAACTCGTCAACCCAACGATAGTGCAGCAGATGCGATAGGAAGCACCCGCCAAAGAAGTGCCCCGCATACATGAAGCAATGCACGAGATGAACAAAAATGAACCATTTCGCGATAGCCTGCAAAGCGAAGCTCCCACAAAACAACCAGGTGGAAGAACGAACAACTGACTCGACGGCAACATACGACGAAGTCGACGAAATATACTACATACACTCATTGGGAAAACCGATTCAGGAAAAACGATTCGGAAGCTGTGTACAAGGCTGAACGTGCTCCAGAACCATTCGGAAACATCGCTCAAGGCTTACCTGGACACCGGAGCCACAACAGACGTCATAAGCCTCAAAACGATTAAGGCAATCAAGAAAGACGCCAAAATCGACGAAAGGAACAAAGTGTCTCTAGGGATGTACAACAATTCCATGGAGACCACACTGGGGACAGCAACGATCAAAGTGCGAAAAGGCAGCAAAATAATCGCGCTCAGGTTCCAGGTCATCAACAAAAACGAGGATACTCTACTCTCAGCGCAATCGTTTTTTAAGCCTGGAATTGATCAAACTGGCTCCAGGAGAGGAATGCATCGATCAAATATCGGCCAAGCAAGACGATCTCGAAAAACTCAAATCGGAGTTCGATGACATATTCCAAGGACTTGCAAGACTCAGAGAGTTAGAGAGAATGGTGAAGGGAAATTTCGGTCGGTTTCTCCTGAGATGACGATGAGTACTCGAAGAGTTTGATGGGATGAGTAGGCACCTTTCGGACGGAACACAACAGACCAAAGAAATAATACCAGTATAGGATATTACTCCTCAAGTGAAGTCAGTCTTTATTATGTATCTTTATATACATGATTGGGAAGGGTCAGTCCGGTGTTACACATCGGATAATGTGAAAAGCAATTATCGATATATAGAACGCGAGTAGAGCAATTTAAATATGCACCGCCATGGGCGAGTCGTTATTTACGATCTTGCTCAACTACTCGATGCTGTGAACCATGAGATAGGAAAATACGAAATAAAGTCAGTTAACCTGTAATTTCCATCAAATGGAAATCATCGAAAAGGTTCACCACCCGACGGAGTGGGTCAGCAAGTTAGTAGCGGTGCACAAAGAAGGGAAAAAGCTAAGACTTTGCATCGATCCACAACACCTCAACAAAGCGCTCGAGATCCCAAAATACCCCATGCCAACCCTCGCGGACTCTCTACACAGACTACGAAAGACAAAAATATTTTCAGTAATAGACGCCAGAGACGGATTCTATCAGATGGAGTTGGCCGAAGAAAGCGCCGACCTAACGACATTCTGGACTTCGACGGTAGGGTACCGATATCGCAGAGTACCGCAAGGAATATCAAGTGCCCCGGAGGAATACCAGAAACGACAGATGCAAGCATACGACGGATTAAAGGGCATAATAGTGGTGGCAGACGACACACTGGTGTTCGGCGAAGGCGAGACAACAGAGCAAGCGGAAGAGGACCATTACGGGAACCTGAGAAACCTGTTCCTCAGGGCGCGAGAGGTGGGTTTGCGATTTGACAAAAACAAACTCAAACTCGGTCTGCCGGAAGTTAAGTTCCTAGGACACATAATAAGTAGCGACGGACTCAGAGTCGACGAGGAGAAAGTCAGAGCCATTAAAGAGATGCCGGCACCGACGGACGTCAAAGGAGTACAAACGTTTTTTGGATGCGCCAACTACCTACTCCAATTCATCCCGAACCTAGCAGAAGCCAGCGAACCCATCCGGCAACTCACGCAAACAAGCAAATACCATTTTGCGTGGCAAAGCCAACAAGAACAAGCGTTCGAGAAGACGAAGGAGATGATAAGCAGAGCGCCGACGCTCGCCTACTTCGATCGCGACCGTCAAACTGTGATACAGACAGACGCTAGCGAGCACGGGATCGGAGGAGTGCTATTGCAAGACGGAAAACCGATCGCATTCACATCGCACACATTATCGAAGGCCGAGAAGTCTTATGCAGTGATCGAGAAACAATGTCTGGCAATGATGGTGACCTGCACCAAATTCCACAAATACCTCTACGAAAACCCGAAAGTCGTGGTAGAAACAGACCATAAACCACTAGAAATGATTTTCTCCAAGTCGCTGGATGCATGCCCGAAACGCCTCCAAAGGATGAGGCTCATACTCCAACGATACAATCTGGAAGTCCGATACATCCCCGGGAAACGGAACGTCATCGCAGACGCCTTAGGCAGACTCCCCGTACCAGAGAAAACAGGTCACATCATCTTGGACATTAGAAGAGTCTCAATCGAAGAAACAGAACAAGCCGAGTACAACCGAATATCGGATCCTCTCATGGAGAAACTCAGAGCAGACACCCAGAGCGACGACGGCATGCAAACTCTGATCAAGATAATCAAGGAAGGATGGCCACAGAACGTGCCCAGAAACTCCACGTTACAGGCTTTCTGGGCAGTAAGAGACGAACTGAACGAAGATGAAGGCATAATCTACAAAGGGAACGCGGAAGTTATCCCCAGAAGCAGAAGAGAGGAACGCCTCAGAAGAACACACAGTTCCCATCTAGGCGAAGGAGCAATGAAAAGACGAGCAAGAAACGCAGTCTACTGGCCAGGGATCAACAATGATATCAAGAACGTCGCCAGCACATGCGAGGCATGCCTCAGTGTATCAAGCGAAACAATGGAGAGAACCCCTGATCAATAAGGCGGTCCCGACAAGACCACGGCAAATAGTTCACCAAGATCTCTTCATGTGGGAAGGAAATAACTATCTGGCCACCGTAGATGGATACTCCGACTACATCGAGATCGACGACCTCGGGATAAGCACAACTACGTCCGAAATCATAAATGACCGAAGCACACTTCGCCCGTCAAGGTAGACCGAGCGAACTCCACACAGATTCACACCCCAGATATCTCGCAACGGAATTCCGAAAGTTCCTGAACGAATGGCAAGTCAAGCACAAGGTCAGCGCACCCCACCACCACCAAGCAAACGGGAAAAGCGAAAAAATGCGGGAAGCCGTAAAAATAGCAAAACGACTGTTAAAGAAAACCAAAATCAGCGGACAGAACCTCGCTCAAAATCTCCTAGATCCTAGAGCATCGGACAACACCACAGAAAGATGGTCTCTCTCCGGCTTTCAAACTGTACAGCTGAAATCTCAGCACAATGATCCCAGCAGAGGAAATTTTCAAGATTTTGAAAGAGGTCAACGAGTATCAGATGATGCAGGCGATAGACCCCGTTATCCGCGAGCAGATTCAGATCTTGGAAAGACCGAAGGCGGGTAGAGATCGCCGAGGGAATAATTTAGTAGGAGGCTTCTCGGTCCGCAATGGTCTACTGTGTATAGGGTATTCAAGGGCAAGCGATTCTTCGTGGTACCTAAGGCTTTGAGGAAGCACATATTGATTATGGCTCACGATAAGGCAGGCCGTTTCGGAGTCGATAAAACGATGGAATTGATTAAGGGAACGTACTGGTTTCCGAAGATGCGGGATTATACGGCGTACCATTTGAAGGCATGCATTAATTGCATCTTCAATAAGGCACAATCAGGCTCTCAGGAGGGCACGTGTCAGGTGATCAGGCCCGAGCGGCGACCGTTTGAGAAGGTCTTCATTGATCACATCGGTCCGTTGCCGAAATCCGCAGGCAACGAGCATCTTATTGTCATGGTCGACGGATTGACGAAATTCGTAATGCTTCAGGCAGTACCGACTACTTCGGCTGCAGTCCTAATCAAATTTTCGGAGAAGGCATTCATGACTCATGGGACGCCATAGAGATTGGTTTCTGATAGAGGAACGGCGTATACGGCTAAGTCATTCGAGGAATTCCTCGCGGCAAATGGGGTTAGGCATGTGCTGATTAGCACGCAGCATCCGCAGAGCAATGGTCAGGTAGAGCGGATTAACGAGGAGGTATCGCGATTGTTGCGGTCATTATGCGAAGACCCTTGTTTGATCGACGAGATCGGGCGAATCATGTACCGCGAGCTAAGATGATGCCAAATTCGGTAGCATCTAGGAGTACGAGAAAATCCCCATTTGAGGTATTACATGGATATATTCTGTAACAATGTCTGTTGGCGCGCCATGTTTCGAATAGAAGGAGAGTCTGTTTTTGTGTGCAGAGGGCGCTTAGGTAGCAGACGATGGAGAATGATAACAGAGAGAGGAACATTCAGAGTCTGATGGCGGTAGATGACAGATCGTCTCCGTGAGTCAGCTGAGTAAAGAGCCGTGGTTGAAGTCACAGAACCCTCCGACTACTTCGTGTTCAGTAGCCTAGAGGGAGAGCAGGAGAGCTTCTCACATTGCAGCGGTGGGATACGCGCAGTTGATATTTCAGTGAGACAGTTGTGTGACGAAGATCAGAAAAACCCGGCAACGAGAGGAAGATGTCGGAAGAATTCTTTGCGAAGTTGACCAGTACCGGGAAGGATCT